AGAAATTCTTTCCTGCCCTGAACTCCATAAGTCTGTGGAGTGACACTGTGATGTTCTTGATAGAAATCTTTATTTAAAAACAACTGCCTGGGCCGGCCTGGTGGCGCAGCGGTTAAGTGCGCGCACTCCACTTCGGCGGCCCGGGTGTTCTCAGGTTCGGTGCTTGTCAAGCCATGCTGTGGCAATGTCCCATATAAGGTAGCGGAAGGTGGGCACGGATGTTAGCCCAGGGCCAATCTTCCTCAGCAAAAAGAGGGGGATTGGCATTCGATGTTAGCTCAGGGCTGATCTTACACACAACACACCACACACCCCCCGTGTGGAGGTGGGGAACGCGAAGCGAAGACTGCCCCTTGGACAAAGACGCATCCTCCGGGATGCTCCCAGCCCCTCCTTTGTCCCAGCCCTGGTCAGTGCCCTTGCTCCTCTCCACTCCCCTTGCACTCCTGCTGGTTTCACGTGGTTGTAGTGATTGAGGTTTGGTCTGTTCCATGATGTGCTGAGAGTGGCTTAGAGACTTCCGGCCCCAGGGAACATCCCAGAGGCTTCTGGATGACTGCCAGTCTCTGGTCAGCATTCACTTCCCACCATTCAAGCGCAGATCCCATTGTAAACCTCAGGACAGATGTTACCAGCATGTTTTCTGCTGGTGGCAGCCATGCTGCTCCCCCTTGGGCCTTGGCCCCTGAGCTCTGGGGCTGGGTATATGGTGGTCTCTCTGGAGGCAACATTCTAGCTTCGCATTTTTTTCATTTGTTCCCGGGTTTTAAGCGGAGGTGCTCTTATCCATCCTGTAATCTTTCTGTTACTGTTGATTCTTAGATGGTGGTCACAGATGTGTATAATCACCGGTTCCACAAAATTTTCCAAATGGATGAAGGTTTAAACCACATCATGCCTCGGGATGACATTTTCGTGTGAGTACTCAGTGGTTTTTGCTGCAGGGTCAAAGGAAACATTCTAGAGGCTTTGCCTTGTTCGTGTCTCCAGAGCAGAAGTTCTGGTAGTCGGTGCTCATGTGGCTCTGCCCTGACCTCTGGGTGCAAGAGATAAGTGTTCAGGGAATTGTGGGCTGTCCTTAGTAAACGGACACCTATTGCCTCTAATGTGGCAGAAGCACCTACTGCCACCTTAGAGCTAGATGTTCTAGATGACTCTGCTCAACATGGACACAGCCTTTTGTCAACAGTTGCTGCATGTTAAGAAGGCCTGTTCAGTGGTCCTACAAGTGGTCATACTGTCAGAAATGCTTTTCTCAGGAAGAGGCACAGCTTTGTGGGGGGGCCGCAGGAAGATAGGAAAAGGGACGTGGTACAGGGAGGGTCTTGTCCTTTCTCCATGCCACAGGCAGTTGCTCCTCAAGCAGGTGCCATCTCAGAATGACAGGGAGGGTTAATTTAAACAACCTGTTTCAGCTTTAACGTTCTACAAGCTCTGAGACTCAGTTTTCTCATCCCTGTGGGAACAGTACACTCCAACTCCATCTGGTCTCCTTGGCCCCTCCCAACTCCTCTTGCTTCAAGGCTGCTCTGTGTAATTGTGTGTGTCCCCGTCTCCCAGGTGGGGCAGAGTGGAATGTGAGCTTGCCTGCGCTTCCAGACAGCCACTTGCTCAGAGAAGCTTGAATGTGGACTACATCCATGCTTTCTCCCCTTGATTCCTTCTCACTCAGAAACTTACCTCTGCTGAGAGGTTTTTAGGATTTTGTTTTGGTTTTTGTTTTTGGCTGAGGAATGCAGTGCACAAAGGAGGCATTTTCTCTTTTTTTTTTTTTTTTGAGGAAGATTGACCCTGCGCTAACATCTGTTGCCAATCTTTCCTCTTTTTCTTGTTTTTCTCCCCAAAGCCCCAGTACATAGTTGTGTATCATAGTTAGAGAGTTGCAGCTCTTCTATATGGGATGCCACCTCAGCATGACTTGATGAGCTGTGACTAGGTCTGCGCCTAGGATCTGAACTGGTGAACCACAGGCCGCTGAAGTGGAATGTGCCAACTTAACGACTACACCACCGGACCGGCCCTAGGAGGCATTTTCTTCCCTTTACAATTTTGGGCTTATGACTTCTAGGTCACTTTAAAAGGAATAGTACTTGACCACACCCAAGGTCATAGTTCCTTTCATATTTGCATAAGCTGCTTCCCCACTCACAGCCATCTTCCCTCACTTTACAAATGGAGGGTGCCAAGGCTCATACTGGGCTGCAGAGCTAGGGCATGGGAAAGGCAGCTTTCATGTCCTTTTCTGGACATGTCTCCCTCAATTCTGGAAACTAATGTTTGCACACACCTGAGCTGAGAAGAGCTGGGGCATTGCCCTGTGGGGAGCTTGGCAAACCACCACCAATGAAGGAATTTTCAGAGAGCCAACCAACAGGAAAGCAAATTCTTTTAAAGATGAATTGATTTGCTGAGAGAGTAAATCTTAAAAGTCCTCATCACAAAAAAAAAAAAATTTTTTTTTGGTAACTATGGTGACAGGTGTTCACTAGAATTATTGTGATGATCATTTTGCAATATATACAAATATCAAATCGTATGTTGTACATCTGAAACTAATATAATGTTATATGTCAATTATACCTCAATAAAAAATGAATTGATAATTGTCTTATGAAAACACAATAGTAGAATCTAATACTTTTTGAGCGTGTGATACGTTGTGCTACTAAGTTATTTAATTCTCACCACTACACTGTAGGGTGGGTAATCCCATTGTCTATTGAGTAAACAGACTCACAGGTTAGGCTCTTGGCCTGGTCACGGCAGCCAGAAAGTGGCAACGATGGACCTAGAAGCTGGGCCAGCCTCACTCCAAGGCCTGGTTCTTGACCTTTATGCTAGACCACAGGGTCCTGACCCTAGAGCACACCTGGGACATTTTTTTTGAGTTCTTGTTACAACTCCTCCTGCATATACTACAGTCAGGACTGTTTGCCAAGCATCTGGGGAGGGATGTATGTGTGTGTTTGTGTTTATAGTTTTCAAAAATTGAATCAGTAAGTTTGTGTCTCCCCCTATAGGAAGAGGGAAAGACTACAGTCGGTTGCCAGCAATTTTGGTAACATCTGTTCCAGGATAAAACATCTATAAATCTCCTCAATCCCATGTATTCACTAAGTAAGACACATTTTTCAAAATCATTGATTTGTATTTAGCAGTTTCTTTGGTTATCTCTGATTTTTTAAAAATTAAATGTGATTCTTTTACTTCAATGTTTTTGAACGAAAATGGCAATTAGTTTTATAAATTTGCTTCCTCATTTGAAATAGTCTTTGGCTAATATTCTAGGTGTACACCTTTACAATGTTTGGTTTTATTATAGGGCAGGGCACTGAGAATGCCTTTTTAAAAGTTGAGCTCTTTGGTGACAAAAAATGAACTTGGTGGCTGGGCCCCCCTGTGTGCCTTTGTGTCTGGACTGATGGTCCGGATGATAGCTGTCATCTGTGTGGAGTCTCAGTTGAAGGACCACAGAGTTTGAGGCCATGGTTGGGGGAAGGAGTATCACGTTAGCGCCGAGTCCCAGGTTATGTAGGTTTACACTGTGTTGACAGTGACCCTCCTTGGGATTCCTGACCCAGCCTCTAGAATCATCTTGGAAATGGTTTATCTGCCTTTTGTGCTCAAGTATGTTCTATCCCAGTAACCATAGTCCTGGCCACCATGTAGCTGTAGCTCAGATCTCTGTTGCTCACAGGGACCGGCTGCTGAAGGTGCCCTCTTTTGTGATTGACACAGGTATGAGGTCTGCAGCACCTCCATGGATGGCTCAGAATGTGTCACACTTCCAGTCTACTTCAGAGAGAGGAAGTCCAGGCCGTTGAGCACTTCCTCCGGGGCAGTGCTGTTCGGGCAGCCACTGCTGGTTTCTGTTCCCAAGCACAAGCTAACCCTCGAGTCTTTGTACCAGGCTGTTTGTGAGCGTATCAGGTTGGTGGCAGGAATATGATTTGCTTGTTATGTAAAATCAATACATGCCCAGTAATAGTAGTTACTACCCCCTGCAGAGTGCCTGTGTTGATACTGTGTGCTCACTTCTGTTGGAAATGCAGTTGTGTCAGCCCCTGGGCCAGGCCAGGTGCTGTTGGGACAGGGCCTCTGGTACATCTTAAGCACCATGACACTAGGCACCTAAGCCTCCTGTGATCTCTGGAATCATGTCTGTCACTCCTGTCAGTCAACTGCTTTAGGGAGTCTAGTGCTTTGATGGCATTTTGTATTTGAATACAGTTTCTGAATACGCCACTATCGTTCTGAAGCTGGTAATTAATGTTACTGAGAAATATTTTTTAAAGTGATGGTGCCACTTGATATTTATAGAAGACTTGAAACAGACTTTCTCAGAGTCTTCAGTGACTTGGTAGTTAGACATCTCTTAGGTTCCTCTCAATTTCTTGAAATATTGCACCACCACATGATTTTAAAGCCCTTTTATTTAAATAAATTGATTTGTAAATAGCTGAATATATAAATTATGAACTACTTCTAGCTAAGTAGTGGAGAAAAATACATAAATGTTACAACTAACAAACCATTTTTTCTTTCTTTTTTTCAAGCCGCTATATAAAACAGCCTTTGCCTGATGAGTCTGGCAGCTTGCCCTTGGAGCCGGGGGCCTGCAACGGCTCCAGGGGCAGCTGTGAAGGTGAGCACTTGCTACACTGTGGGGCTGTGACTGATCAAATCCCTCCTGACCTCCCTCTTCTTCCAAAGGTTTTGTACACATGGGAGAGGGAGGCTCTGAGGCTGGGTTGGGGGCTCTGCCTAGAAAGCAGACCTGGGAGCCCCGTCTGCATCACTCCACTGTGCTGGTGCCTGTTGTCCAACTTTGTTACCTCGTGGAATCTTCTTAGACATGTAGACTGGTTTTCACTTCAGGCAGACTGAGCCTAGCAGAACTGAGTGACTTGCCCAAGGTCATGAGGCAGAGTCAGGATTTGATTCTTATCTGTTGGGATTGCAACGTGGGTGCTTATCCAGCACTTGATGGCCTCCATGACCTGGCTTCTATCCGCAGAGCTGTTATCTTGGCCCTTACCCATCATTGTGGGTGTGGCACCACCCCTTGGGAGGGCAGGCATTCTGGCCAGCCAGTCAGAAGGCAGAGATAGGTTCTCTTGGGCATTTCTCTCTTTCTACCCAGGAAGCTACTGGTAGTGGCTGACTCTAGACAGCTCCTGGTGTGGGAGTGAAGAGCCACAGACTGAAAGATGGATTTGTTGCAGGAAACCCAGAGCCCTCGCCATCCTCCTGTGGCCAAGTGCTCACAAGCTCATGCCTGACCCAAGAGACATGTCTTACCTGCATTATGGCTATCACTCTTCTTTTTGGGGCTTAGGTGACTCGGTAGCCTTATTCCTATAAAACTGTAAATGTCCTCCAAGTTAGTGCTGTAAATTTTCAATTGCAAATCCAAATGCCCAGGTGTCACTGACATGCACAGTCTTGGAAAGTGAGAATTGACGTTAAAAATAATGACCACAAGGCTTTGTCCTCAACAGATATTCCAAATTGTTGGTATTTTAGGTTGAGTATTTATTATAGTCATATTCTTATTCTTGCCCAGAATATCCTGTTCTCCTCCCACTACAGAAGCCCAGGAGTGTATTTTGTGCACAGGTCCTACAAGCAGATATGTCGGAGTGGTAATTGTAGTCTCTGAGCACACCCTGGGTGACCTCTGGGTTCTCAGCACTCTGGAAGTTAGGGCATTGTGATTCCCAGCTCGAGGTGTGCAGTGGACTTGAACAAGTCACTTCATCCCTGTGAACCTTGGTTTATCCATCTGCAAAATGGGATGATGACATCTGCTTCACAGAGTTGAGGTTATAATTTAATGAGATAACATGGTTAAAGTACCTGGCACATAATAGATGCTCCATTAATAATAACACCATGTGAGTATTTGCTATTGTTATAATTAGCCTAGCTCTTAGACATTCCATCTGTCAGTCTCTTACTGCCTTCTTTTGAATCCTGTAAGTGAGTCTTGATGCAGAGACTTCAAACCCTGTTTAACCTTCAAATACAGTCATGTGCCGCATAACGTTTTGGTCAATGGCAGACTGCATATACGACTGTGGTCCCATAAGAGAGTACTGTATAGCTTAGATGTAGAGTATACTATACCACCTAGGTTTGTTTGAGTACACTCAATGATGTTCACACAATGACAAAATTGCTTAACAGTGCATTTCTCAGAAAGTATCCCTGTTGTTAAGCGATGCACGACTACACTTTTAACCTCTTTACTGCCATGGCTCCTTGTTAGGTTTGTGGTGGCTGTTTCCTGCTGATTCTGAGTGACCTTGGGTAGCTGCTTTCAGTGGACCCTACTTTCTTTTCTCATCCTGTGAGATACACTTTATGGCATTTTAATTCTGACTGCATTATCAGAAGGTTCCTGAGATTGTCCAGGTAACTGGCAGCCCAGTGGCACAGCCAGGGACAGAGTTCTTGTAGTGTTGGGGCTCTGTTCACTGAGTGGGGTTGAGGCAGATTTTGGTTGTGACCCTCTTGGAGAGGCAGCAGGCAGGGCAGGGTTTCACTTGCCAGGCTGGGAGTGGGGCAGGCTTACATGGGTGTAAAAGGGGCAGTGCCACTGTCTCAGGAGTCAAGTGAGCTGGTTGGGAAAGGAACATCTGTGAGAGCTGGGGCTTGCGGTCTCATGCAAGCTGGCTGTTTCAGAGCGGTGCTGATGGGGATCCATGTCAACATCCTCATCCATGCTGTGCTGTTCCTGTGGCCTGAGAGGAAACTGTGCTGCATGGTCCCAGGCCTGACTTGTCCTTCGTCATGAACACTCCTAAGGCAGACTGTCCTTGAAAGAGGATTCTTATGTCGAACATCCTCCTTTCCTTGGAGTTTCCATTTCTAGTGATATTTCCCCAAGTATGTACACTTTATATTTTATTATTTATTTTTTTTATTTTTATTTTTTGCTGAGGAAGATTCACCCTGAGCTAACATCTGTTGCCGGATCCTCCTCCTTTTTTTTGCTTGAGGAAGATTAGCCCTGAGCTAACATCCATGCCAGTCTTTCTCTATTTTGTATGTGGGTCGCCGCCACAGCATGGCCGATGAGTGGTATAGGTCTGTGCCCAGGATCCGAACCTGTGAACCCAGGCCGCTGAAGCGGAGCATGCCAAACTTAACCTCTACACCACGGGCTGGCCCCTAAACTTTATATTTTGAATCTTTTCTTCCTCTATTAATTTTGCATCACCTTTTGGAGTTGTCCCCGTCTTTGTTGAAATTACTTATCTGTTACCTTAACTTTCCCTTTCAACTGCCCACAACAAAAAGTATGATGAATATGTTCATGGATCTTTTTATTGCAGCCACATATACTAGTTCTCTGGAAAAACCTGGGAAATTTACTCATCAGCATATGTCTCTAGAATGCCTATTATAACTCAGCAATCTGAAATGAATAAAGATAAAAAAAAGAAAAGGAGGGGAGGAACCTTTGTGCGGTGTTCTCTGGGACCCAGCGTGGCACCTGCACTCGTGAGACAATTCAGTAAATACCTGTTGAAGGGACAGTCATCAGATATTTCTTGTGGAGGAAAGGAAGACTTTTACTTAATATTTGAAAGTTGACTTTTAAATTGCATTTCTTAGCAGACTGTCTTCTTGAGTGTTGAGTATGTGTTGAATTTTGGTCCTTTACTCTCTATGGGCCTAATGATGAAGTCAAAAGAGTGGACTGTGGGGTGAAGCCCAGTAAAGTACCAAGTCGTGAGGGGCCCAATTAGGACTGGCAGGACTGCGTGACTCACTTAGTACCTTCAGGTGACTCGTTGAACCTCTCTGGGCTTCCTTTTCCTCATCACGGAATAGCAATGCCCACTCTGCTTGTCTTACTGCATTGTGATGAGGATCACATGTGAATTCAGGTGCCTTGTAAATGCCAAGGAGTGGATATAGTTTCGTATACACAGAGCAAAGTCTGGCAGGAAACACCACAGTGAGGTGTGAAATAAAATTTTTAACATTGAAATGGTGGCAAATTATATACACGTTATTTATTTATATTCTTTTGTGTGTGAGGAAGATCAGCCCTGAGCTAACATCTGATGCCAATCCTCCTCTTTTTTTTTGCTGAGGAAGGTTGGCCCTGAGCTAACATCCGTGCCCGTCTTCCTCCACTTTATATGCGACGCCGCCACAGCATGGCTTGACAAGCAGTGTGTTGGTGTGCACCTGGGATCCGAACCTGCGAACCCTGGGCTGCCAAAGTGGAGGGCGCACACTTAACCGCTTGCGCCACTGGCCGGCCCCTATATACACGTTATTTTTCATTTGTGTGCCAGGAGAAGATGAAGAGGAAATGGAGCATCAGGAAGAAGGCAAAGAGCAGCTTTCAGAAACAGAAGGCAGTGGGGAGGATGAGCTGGGAAGTGACCACGGTGAGACCACACAAAAGATCAAAGGCCGGCCCTGCCCAAAAAGGCTTTTTACCTTCAGCCTTGTGAACTCCTATGGAACAGCCGACATAAATTCCCTTGCAACTGATGGAAAACTACTTAAACTCAACTGTAAGCACTTTCAAACTGGGCTTTTGGAGACTTGGGATCTATTTGAAGATATTTGCACTCAGTACTCACTGTGTTGGGCTTTCAAATCTCCGTGTAGCTCAGGATCAGACACTTGTATGATCCTTGGTTTGAAGCTCCCTAAAGACTGTTTTAGAGACCTGACCCCACCCCCCACCCTCACCCTCCTTGTCAGGCTTTTCTCTCTGGTCCTTGATGACTTCAGAAGGAAGCAAGCTCTCCCTCCACTCCTCCCACCCTTCAGGACCTTTGCTCCAGGTTGATAATACTTCCTGTGGCCCTCCTAGGTGGCAGCATTTCCCCAAACTCATTTCACTTATGAGAATAAACGCATATGTCTTTTGTTCCATAAGAATATTCATGAAATGTGACCCATCTAGAGGATGCTTGTAGATTTTGTAGACCATTACCTGGAGCCTATAATGGGACTGCTGTACAGACAGGAAGAGGCATCCACGTGGGGTGTGCAGTGTGTGTGAGAAGCACAAGTGGACGGTGAAAGCACCTGCACAGGGTCAGGAGGGGAGCTGCAAAAGTGTCTCCTGGGTCTTCTACCTTCCTTCATCAGAAAAGAAATTAGCTAGGTGTCCTTTAGCTAGGTAGCTAGCTAGCTTTTTCTTCTGGTTATACCTCTTTAAAAAACTGTTTTTTAATAACAGCTTTATTGAGATATTCTTAGAGCTTTACATCCATCTATCTCTCCGCCTCACTGTAGCTCCCTCCTCTCCATGAGGCTTCCTTCTTTTCGTCTAATGTCTTGAAAATTCTAGCCAAAGATTCTAGGAGTCTTTGACTGCTCAACTCAGTCTTTCCATCTCCTTCCCTTCTCTCTGATGCTGTGGCCTGGAAGATGCCTCCAGGTAGTAAGCGGGGCAGTGTAGGCATCACCTAGTTTCTTTTCCTTCTCTCAGGGATCTCACTCTTGCTCTAATATCCAATGTCTGAAAACAGTTATTTCATCTATTTTGTCAGGTTTTCTTGTGGTTTAAGGCAGGAGGGTAAATCTGGTTGCTCTTACTTCATCTTGACCTTTGGCCTTTCATAATTCTTTTTGGTTTTTTTTCCCCCTTTTTCTCCCCAAAGCCCCAGTAGATAGTTGTATGTCATAGTTGCACATCCTTCTAGTTGCTGTATGTGGGACGCCACCTCAGCACGGCCAGAGAAGCAGTGCGTCGGTGTGCGCCCAGGATCCGAACATGGGCCGCCAATAGTGGAGTGCGTGCACTTAACCGCTAAGCCACGGGGCCGGCCCCTCAGAATTCTAAATAGCGCCTTTGGAGCTTATCTGTAGCGTTGAGGAAATCTTTGCCAAAGGATTTAGGGGTTCAGGGGTCTCAGAGTTGGCTGGCTCAACCAGAGCACTGCTCTTGGCAGTGGCTGGTAATGGGTGAGCAGGTGTTGATGGTGTAGCCTGAGTATGGTCTTTCTCACTCCGGTCACCTGAAGAGCCTCTCCTGTTGCTGGCCATTCAGTAATGAATGACACTTTGTTCCTCCTCCACAGCTAGATCCACACTGGCCATCGATTGGGACAATGAGACCCGGAGCCTTTATTATGATGAGCAAGAATCTGAGGTAGGTCACTTGAAATTCTTGGTCAGTGGTGTGTGCTGGTTTCTACTCTGGATGTGTGTTAGGGTCCCTCTCACCAGTTCCACAGCAATTTAACAAGTTATATTTCAGATTGAGAATGAAAAACAGTTAAGGATTTTGTCGTTGTATGTTCCGAGGCTCCAGAGAGTACATTATATTCCAGGCATGAGAGCTCATGAGGTCATGGCTCAATATGGTAAGATCTTATTTCCCCAACAGAACTTAGTGCTTCGTTCCTCACAGGCCTATGAGAAGCACGTGAGCATGTTGCAGCCTCAGAAGAAGAAAAAGATGGCAGTGGCCCTAAGAGACTGCATCGAGCTCTTCACCACTATGGAGACCCTTGGCGAGCATGACCCCTGGTATGCAGCTCCCCACTCTGGGCAAGCTACCATGTACCCTGGGACTCTGAGATCTGCAGGGGCAGGGGTCATCTGTGTACACAAAAACCTTTTGTATTTGGACTTGTCACTCTTTTACATGGCCGCATGTAAAAGGTGTGCAACACAGGTCTGTGTGAACTGTGTTTTCCAGACTAAGAAAGCCATCACCCTGTTTTGGAAGGTGGCTTAGAGACCTCCCTGCCCTGAAGCAGTCATGCTGAGTGCAAGAAAGGATGTTGTGGGATTGTGGCTGTGCCTCCCTGGCTTGAGTGCCCGGGTGGCACTGGCTGCTGCCTCCCCTCTAAGTGGTGGTTTCTCTTTTCTCTTCAGGTACTGTCCCAACTGTAAGAAGCATCAACAGGCCACAAAGAAGTTTGACTTATGGTCTTTGCCGAAGATCTTGGTGGTCCACCTCAAACGTTTCTCCTACAATAGATACTGGAGGGATAAGCTCGACACAGTCGTGGAATTCCCAGTAAGGTGGGTTCCCAGGCTGCAGTGTTATTAGGAAAATTAAAAAATAGGCAGGAAATCTGGGCACTGATTGGCTGAAGGGTTTTGCCACCAGAGACTTTCCTACATGAGGATGTGTGTTGTTGGGCTTTGGGAGGTTAGACTTTGGTTCACTTTACTTCCTCATCCTCCCACCTTTGGAGAAAAGACTCTCCAGTAGAAGCCTTCCCCAGGCTCAGGGTGATGCTGATCATCTCTGCCACTGCTGGTTCCCCTCTCGAGTCCCTCATGCCACCTAACTGTCTGTCATTGGTCCCAGGGAGCCTGGGCTCAGCAGGACAGCACAAGAGCAGTGCTGCTTCTTATTAACAGAGGGACAAGGCAACCAGAGAGTAATCTGCTGGGGAGAATTGGATTACTGGGGGCTGCACGTAGGGGTGCAGATTCACCACCATCCTGTCCCTGGGGTAGGGACTTGGGGCTGGCTGTCTACTCATGTCCTCTCAGGTCCCAGGATACAGAGTGTAACTGACACAGGAAAGTAAATCAACAAGATAGGAGTTCCTCCACAAAATGCAGATTTTAAAATATGGGTGGATATTTTACATGAAGTATAGATGTGTCAATGGGAGAATCTAGGTGATGGGTATATAGGTATTTGTTGTAAAATTCTTTTAACTTTTCAGTATGTTTGAAATTTTCAAAATAAAATATTGGGGAAAAAAGCTTTCTGAACCTATTTTGATATTTAGCTTAAATTTTTATGGTACTAATTGTAATTCTGAATATAGCAGCCATTTCTGCAAAGTTGCTGCAGCCTTCTTGTCTGTGCCCAGAGCCCGTCCTCGGAGTTTGGTCTGGGGTTGGAGTTACCCAGGAGGCTTCTCCTCTTTTCTAGTCTGAACATGTAGTGGTCAGAACAAGACCCCATGGCCCCTTCTCTCATGGTCTGTTCATTCATTCCTTCAGTCATTGGCTTTTGAGTGCCTCTTGTTGTCTCCTGTTGCATAAAAGGAGTTTCTGGGTTACTCTGACTTCTTTCTCTGAGTTTAACGTATTTAAGGGCTGTTTTTGTGTTTTGTGCTCAGAGCTCTGAACATGTCCGAGTTTGTCTGTGACCTGTCAGCAAGGCCTTACGTGTATGACCTCATTGCCGTGTCCAATCATTATGGAGCCATGGGGGTTGGCCACTGTAAGTACTGGCAGCTGCTTCCTTCTGAGATGTTGAAATGCCCTCCGCCAGTCATCTCACGAGCCTCTCCTGGTGTGCCAGGCGTTGCCCAAAGCACTTTACTTAAACGGCTCCTTGGGCCTCAGGTTTCAGGCTTTTTCTGTGCAGCTGCTCCTCTACTCTTTTTTTTTTTGGTTTTCATGTTCTTTAATAATCCCACCTCTGGGAATCTATCCTAAGGAAATTACTTGACATTGGGACAAAGTTTTATGTACAAAGATATTCACATATTTATAACTGAAAAATTGGTAACAGCATTGGTGATCACCAGTTGGCACTACTGTCCGTCTACTTGATAGAAGAGTACACAGCCATTGCAAAATAAATTAATAATAACACGGGGAAATGCCCATGATAGGTTAAGTGAAAACAGCGACACAAAAAGTTGCATCATCACAGAAGGTAGTGTCACAACTACGTTAAAACAAAAGCAAAGGAACTGATTAGAGGTGGAAAGCCTAGGAGGAGACGCCAAAATGTTCATTTTACTTTTTTTTCTTTGTTCTACTTTATTTTCCAAAATTTCTATAATGTGTGGGTTTACTTTTATAATGGAAAGACCTGGTACATTGTGTTGCTTTGTTTACAGAAAGGGTTAGCGATGTTGAAGTGAGGAGCTAGGTCTCCTCATATTTTCTCTACTGCCCTTACACTGTGCCAACTGCCACTACACCCAGTATTAGGACCCCAAGAGATGATGCCATGGTGGGTGTCAGTTCCAGTTTAGTGGATCACAGAATTGCCCTAAACCCCAGTCTTCTCCCCTATACTGGTAAGCTTCTTCTGTTGGCCCAATAGTCTTACCTCCTGGCTCCTGATGGCTGCTCAGTCTCCAGTCCTCATGTCTACATTTCAGGCCATCAGAATAAGGGGAAAAAAGGGCACTCACTACCTTCCCTTTTAAGCAGACCTCCTAAGTCTCCCTCAGCTCCTCTGTATACATCTCATTGGCTATAACTTGGTCACATAGCTAAACCTAGCTGTAGGAGAGGGTGGGAAATAAAAATTTTTCCTATTTAAAAATTGTGTCTCTACTGGGGTGGCTGTTAGCAATCTCTGGTCACATCATATTCTGCAGCACTTACTTTTCTGTAACTTTTTTCTCCCAAAATAAATTTTGATATCTGTGTTCATGCATACTGGTCAAATGTATTCTTTTTTTGTGTGAGGAAGATTAGCCCTGAGCTAACATCTGTTGCCAATCCTCCTCTTTTTGCTGAGGAAGATTGGCCGTGAGCTAACATCCGTGCCCATCTTCCTCTACTTTATATGGGACATCACCACAGCATGGCTTGACAAGCAGTGCGTCGGTCTGCGTGCGGGATCCAAACCTGTGAACCCCAGGCCACCGAAGCGGAGCACGAGAACATAACCACTACGCCACCGGGCTAGCCACCAAATGTATTCATTTTTAAACTGCTATTTTAGCGTATAAACATACCACCTGGGCAGTTTCTTAGCCTCCATATGCTTCAGTTTTCTCTTCCATGAGATTAGCTGGTTGTGTGAGGCTCCACATTGGGTCCACAGTTGGAACTCCAAGATTGAGAGCCCCCAATGCTGCTGTTATGCCAAGCACAGACAGTGGAAACAGTCCCTTGGCACCTTCTCTGTCACCTTTTCCTGTGTTCTTCAACCACCACTTTGTGCAGTAAGCACTACAGTGAGGAATGGTTAGATAGCTTGCCCAAAGTCACACAGCAGGTTGAGACTAGAAACCAGATCTCCATTAGATTCTGTCGTTTCTTTTTTTTTTTTGGTGAGGAAGACCAGCCCTGAGCTAACATCTGATGCCAATCCTCTTCTTTTTTTGCTGAGGAAGACTGGCCCTGGGCTAACATCTGTGCCCATCTTCCTCTACTTTATATGGGACGCTGCCACAGCATGCCTTAACAAGTGGTGCGTTGGTGCGCACCTGGGATCTGAACCGGCGAACCCTGGGCAGCCGCAGTGGAGCATGCGCACTTAACCACTTTCGCCACTGGGCCGGCCCCTCTGTCATTTCTTAGAGTCTGGGTGGAGCAGGAATTGGGCATTGCTGCTGGGATTGCTGTTGTAAACACATCCTGCTTGGAAATAGTGTAAAATCAAGACAGGAAGTGTTGGCTGTGGGAAATGCTTGGACCATTGTGAGAAATTGTTACTCAGCCACAGACTCTTGACTCACAGTTTTAGAGCAAGATAAATTTAAGTCTTCTCCACATCCCAGCTTGGCAAACCCAAATGGTCAATGTGTCCCTCACTGAGATTGCTCCACGGGCTCCAGAGGCAGTAGGAGGCAGTAGTAGCCATCTGCCTGGACAAAGTATGGGAGTTTGACTTGGCATGTTGTTTTGAGAGCTGTTGTTTTGCTTAACTCTTAAAGTATCAGCTCCTTTTATGGGTCCCCCGGCTCTGGATTATTGTTCATAGCCATCCTAAAGATTAACATTGGATTTCTCTATTTTTTGGAATAGTTTCCCAAAATTACAGTTTAAAGCCTTAGTCGCTCACAGCTCCATTTTTAACCTTTTAGAGCCTTTTTGAGAAGAAACAGATTTTTTTAAAAGGATGAGTTATCTTTTGGTTGTTAGGACACAAGCTATAAATTACCTTTATTTAATTTCTTTTATGTATTTATTTTTTCTCCCAAAGCCCCAGTAGATAGTTGTATGTCATAGCTGCACATCCTTCTAGTTGCTGTATGTGGGACGCAGCCTCAGCATGGCCGGAGAAGCGGTGCGTCGGTGCACGCCCGGGATCCGAACCCCGGGCCGCCAACAGCAGAGCGCGCGCACTTAACCACTAAGCCACGGGGCCGCCCCTACCTTTATTTAATTTCAAGGTCTTTGTTTTGTTTCACTTTTTTTGAGTTTTGTGTTGTTTAGTGCAAGCCTAATAAGCTAGCCAGATTAGTTCTCTGGTGACTGCTAGAGTATTTTTTTTTTGTTGACCTGGCAGACACTGCATATGCGAAGAACAAACTGAACGGGAAATGGTATTACTTTGATGATAGCAACGTGTCCCTGGCTTCTGAGGATCAGATAGTGGTGAGTAGGCCCTGATATCTGGTTCCTCCTCTTACCTTTATGGATTAAAGCTGGGAAGAGTCTCCTGGGCTAGTTGGTTATTTAGTCATCTTTATGTGACAGTGGGAGCTAGGTGTGGTAGAGAAAGAGTTGGCTGCCATTCCTTCCGGGATCCTTCCTAAAGAAGCAGCTCGACTCTCCTCATGATTCTGTCACAGGGCACCTGCCTTTCCCCACTTCCTGGGCAGGGTCAGCCGAAGCTAGCCTCAGGTGGAAGGGCCTTCATGGTCACCTGTGTGTGTGGATGCACAGGGCAAGATGGCAGATCCCTGAGAGTGGTATGTTTTTGAACAGTGAGAGAAAAGCTGGGGGAGATAAGTGATTTTTCCAACCGGTGAATAGACTTTTCCCCTCTTGTGTTTTAGACGAAAGCAGCTTATGTGCTGTTTTACCAGCGTCGAGATGATGAGTTTTATAAGACACCTTCACTCATCAGTTTTCCTGGATCCTCTGATGGAGGGACGAGACCAAGCAGCTCACAGCAGGGCATGGGGGAGGATGAGGCTTGCAGCATGGACACCAACTGATGCTGCCTCAGTGACCCTGCCACCCCACAGCACCAGTGTAATCCCCCAGAATATCTTTAACACTCTGACGACTACTAGTGTTCGGCCTAAAAACCAGATGATGAAATTCCCTTCATTTATGAGAAGGAAAAAAAAGACCCTATTTGCTCAGAAGGGTTATGTCAAGAGGCTGAATTATTTTTCTTTTTACACAGGTGGTGAGAAATTTCTTTAAAACCTGTGGAGCTGCAAAGTGGGGGTCGGGAGGGTGGGTGCACAATGGAGTATGTCTGATGAAAGCATAGAGAGGAACACACTGTAATTGATTATGGGGCAGCCAGGAAGACCTGCTGCAGACTGCCCTGAGTTCCTGGATTTCTGATTCTGGTGCCGATTACTGGTCACCCCAGTAGTCTGCCTACAGTAAACCAAGCCTCAAGTAAACTTGATGCCCCCTTCTCCCTTACTGTGTACTGGGATGGGTTTATAATTCCCTAAAAATTAGCCACTGAAGCCCATTTCTGTTTCCTTTTGTGTTGTCTTGGAGTTTCCAGCTTTTCTTCTCCCTAATGAAATGAAGATATTTGGTGTTGGGGTCTCCTGTCTCTGTCTCCTGTGGAACCTAGCAGTTCTGTTATGTCCTGCACTGTCCTCGATGAATTGAGACAGTTGGATACTGTGTGGAACTTTAGTTAGATATCACTTAAAAGAAGTCGGTACACAAAACTGCTGGGTATCGTGTCCAATCCAGTCATTTCCATGTTGGTTTGAGAATGGGAACCTTCTTGGGAGTTTGTGAGGCCTGGAAAGGGTTCCTGCCCCTTCACCCGGAGAGACCACCCCACTCTGCTCTCCTCACCCTGCCAAGGCCGCGCGGGTCACCCCCTCCCCACCCCTCTCCACAGTGAGGCGCGAGCCCGCGGTCCCTGCCGCCTCCCTCCACGTCCGGGGCCCTTGCTTCCCCTGCGGGCTGCGGTCCGTGTATATTTAAAGAACATGGCCGTCCGGGCTTTTTTTGTCTGACCTTTAACCTGAGCCGTGGAGGCCGGGGCAGCTGGTCTCGGGCACGCGCCATCGATCATTAGGGGCGCGTGTGGCGACCGTTGGCGGGGCTGGCGGTGTGTCTGCGCTGCTTGGTGAGGACGCGGCTGCGTACCTTCTGCCCGAGGGCTGGCCGCGGGGTGCGGGGTGGGGTCGGCTCAGGCGTCCTGAGAGCCAAGAGGGAGCCGCGGGATGAACTGGCCGGCGGCCGGGCGGCAGGCGTGGGCGGGTCGGGAGCTGGGGGAGGCGGGGCCGGGGCTCCTGCTCGGTCGCCAGTTCCCCTTGGAGAAGTGCGGGCTACCTCCGCCCATACGGGGAGGGCAGCGCCTGGAGTATGGGTTTCCCTGCTCTCTGGCCCGTAGCCTGGATCAAGCACAAGGAAATCGTGGCAAATACCCTATTCGGAGTGGTTTACAATCTCATCCACAACATTCTCTTGTGCATTTCCAATGTATTACATAATAGAGACATGGTCGCTTTTAGGGGAAATGTCTGAAAAATTGAGAAGATGCAGAAAGGAGCTGACTGCAGCCATTGACCGGGCCTTTGAAGGAGTCAGTCATTCCCAGGAGTGCTCAGGCCGGCCGAGGCTGGAGCTGGACGCAGCGCCATCTTCCTTCCACCTCCCTGTGCACGGGCTTCTCTGCGGGAGGCACGCGCTTGCAACCTGCTCCCCTGCTGCTCCTTTTGCTCCTGTCCCGTGTGTCTCTGAGAATGAGAGCCCTGCCTTTGCACCAAACCATGCCCCAATGAATGCAAAGACACATGCTTTATGCCCCAAAAGAAAACCTCTGACCAGCAAGGAAAACGTATTGATGCATTCCTCCATTTTGACACCTGAGAGAGAGTTTTGGAGAGCGCCAGGAGATGGGGAGAACTGGAGAAAAGATGGTCTAAGGTGATTCCAATTTAATAGTTTATAATTTTATTTATTTATTTATTTTTCCCCCAAAGCCCCAGTAGGTAGTTGTATGTCATAGCTGCGCATCCTTCTAGTTGCTGTATGTGGGACGCAGCCTCAGCATGGCCGGAGAAGCGGTGCGTTGGTGTGCGCCCGGGATCTGAACCGGGGCTGCCAGTAGTGGAGCACGCGCACTTAACCGCTAAGCCCCTGGGCCAGCCACCAAAGGGGTCGATTTTTAAAGTCACCTTATTTTTTATGCTGTAAAAACAAAAAGCTTAATTCAGGTGTCCTTTGCCCATACTGGGGAGAGGCTGAATGGATGACTGGGCCCTACTTCCTGGCTTCATCTTTGCATCTGCTCCCCTCTGCCCTAGACCTTTCTAGACTATCCCTGGATTAAGATCTCCCCCAGACTTTTTCTTCTCCCGGGTAGCTGCAAACTGCCTGGTCCTAGGCACCTTGATTTGGAGCAAGGATGACCATGTGTGATGAAACTTCAAGGTCGTGCCATCTTGGCTGTCCTGTAGGCAGAGAATGAAGAAGCCGTTTAATTGGTTCAATTCTACAAATATTTATTCTGGTATTCATAGACGTTAATGCACAATCTGTGATGCTCATGAGTCATTATGATGAGGCTATTAGTCAATTTCACTGATTTAGAAGTTTCCAATTGTCCTCTAATCACAGCATAAATGACAATTTAATGTTACCAGTAAGTTTTTGTATTTAAGATTATCTAACACTGAGTTCCCCTCCAAATATTTTCTTGACAAAGGATCTAATTTTGCACCTTTTTTTTTTTCACCCGGGAGCTGCAGGAAAGATATGGAGAAAGATTTGAAGGTTGACTCAAACATGCCACTCAGCAGTTCTAGCCAAGAGGTCACAAAGGATCTGCTTGATATGATCGGTGAGTACAGAGAGCAGATGGGTCCTTCACGCATGCCCCTGAGTCAACACATTTCTCATAAAAAAAAAAAAAACACACTCTCTTATTTCTTTCTTATTTCTGATCCATTTCCTTGGTAGATTTGTTTTGCTCACAGCAGACTCTGTGCATAGAGCCCTCGTAGAGCTGATAGCCTGGTGCAGTCACACGTCAATCAGATCATTTCATTGTTGTCTAGTTAGAGTGGAAGCATGGCACAGCGTCCCCTGGGACTTGGTGGTTGAGCTTAGATCTGAAGGAAACAGGACATAAGCAAAGATGGATGGGAAGTAGTCCAACTGAGGTGGGTAGTACAAGATTAGAAGAAAAGTCAGAAACCAAAAGCCCCCTTATTATTCTACCACCCAGAGAAAGCTGCTGTGAACATAGTACTGTACATCCTGTTAGACATTTTTTTCTGCACACACAGCTGTATATTCTCTGTTAACTACGTGTGCCCTATTTTTAAGTGACTCACACTATACGGTGGATAAAGTTCCTAGATAAGGGATACTGCCTGGCTCTGGAAGGGCCTCCAGGCTATGGGGGATGAAGGGGAGGCCTGGTGAGGGGAGGTACTCACCTTAGGCCACAAAGCAAGACCTCTGCCAGCCCACTATTTTAGTGGACTGAGTCTCCTCCAGGAGTCTCTGGAGGTGAACTAAAGTCATTATTGCCTCTGCTCACCATCTTCCACAGCCCTTGCCAGTGACAGGCGGCATTTTGATTACCCTAAAGACTCAGTTTTTTTCACACTATGTCGTGCCTGCAGGTCAGGATATTCCCTGAGCTCCAGGACAAGCATGTGCATCTCTATCTTCTCACTTACGCCTTCCTTGGGAACTGCCAGATAGTTGGGGGTCGATAAATGCCGGAGCTAGAAAGGAGGGCAGCAAGCCCACCTTAACATTTGGCACTCACTGCCTTCCCCGGGGAGGGATGCCCAGCCTTGCACAATCCTAGAAGAGTGGTCACCCATTTGTGGGTTTTAACTTGTGCCTGAAATGTCTTCAGAAACCTCTCACTGGAATTGTAATGCTGAATGTTCTTATTTTTAAGACCATACAAGCATCCGAACTATTGAAGAATTGGCTGGAAAATTAGAATTTGAAAACGAGTTCAACCGCGTGTGTGGTCACTGCGAAGATTCACCCTTCAAGGAGGAAGCCTGGGCTCTACTCTTGGACGAGAGCCCTCAGAAGGCCTCAGATGCTGACCCTGGCCGCCTCAAGCAGGCTTTTGATGATCACAATATCGTTGAGACTGTTCTGGACATGGAAGAGGATTACAATTTAATGACCTCTTTTAAATACCAAATTGAGTAAGGACAGTAGACTTTGATTCTTTGCAGCAGGAGGCTGACGTTAAGGTGTCTGTGCAGAAGCAGTCACAGTTGTCATCAGGGGCCATAGTTTTCAAAGAGTTAGCAGAATCTGAATTACTACACCCCCCTTTGACTTACAGTTGTGTCCTTTTTTGAGCTGAGAGCCCAGTTTTTTTATACTGTTGCTTTGAAATGTTTCTTACTGTAGATTTTTTTTTACTTTTCTTCACATCTTGAATGCATTTCTTTGATTTATGTTCAATATACCCAGTACCCAAGACAGGTGCAGTTTGTGGGTCTCTGCTCTGCCTCTTGGTGTTCTTTTCCGTGGGCCCCTGAAGAAGTACCAGAGCCACAACCAAGGTGGGCTTTGTGTACCCTCTGGGACCAGCCCATCCCAAGCCAGCTCAGCCCGCACGGAGGAACTAGGATCAAAATGGACCTTGGCCCCAGGCCCTCTGCCACCCTTGCATACTTTGCTCTCCTTATACACTTAGCACACAGGGCTGCCTGTTCCCTACATGAGCCCCATGCCCTCCTCATGTCCAAACCAACCTCCCTCAATTCCCCCATCCCTGCCCCTGCCCGACTCAGAAGCCTCTGCAGAAGCCTCCTGGTTGTGTCAGAGGGGCTGGCAGCATCCCTGGTCCCCTCCTCACAGGACATTCCCATGAGGCCTCCCATCACCCACCCCGCATCAGACACCTGGGTCTCAGCTGAGGGGGAATGGGGAGGGAAGGGTAAGCACAGGTCCTGCCCATCCACCTTCATGCCTGAGCTTTACCCATCCCACCCCAGGACTGGAGATGCTGGAGGCCATAGGTGGTTCCCAGGGCAGTAATCCTGCTGCAGCAAGATGGGCAGGGAGTGAAGGAGGGGCCAGGCCACTGCCCTCCTGAGGTCAGCATGGCAGCAAAAGCTTGGCAGGGCTGGCTCCAGTCCCACCCCTGGAAAGAAAGGACATCATCAGAAAATATTTGGACAAATTTCTCAAAATCATGATGTTCTTTTAGAAAACCTAATAAGCTGTTAGGCAAGGTTCAGTGCCTTCCAGAAACAGTCTCAGGGAAGTGCCTGCCTCCTAGGCTCATAGGAGAGGACAGGAGTGGGGAGGCTGGCATGGGGGCTGCTTGTAAGACCCAAAGCCCAAATGCACCAAAGAGCCAGGGAAGAAGGCCCAGTGGCCGAGGGGCCCCCTTGCCAGACCATCTTTTAGGCTAGTGACCTCAGCCTAGGGCAGGCTGCGGAGCTGGTGACACCCCTTCACCACAGGCCTGGCGGTTCCTCTGGGCTTACAGGTGGACACCACATACCCACTCCTTAGTGGAGCGAGGCTGGGCACTTGCCCACACCCTGAGAATTAGCCCTGGCCACTTTGGAATGGGCCTCCCCTGCAGGTGCAGCCACCTCCACCGCCCTGCCTGGGGCAGAGGGTAGGACAAGACTCAGCAGAGGCTCCTCCCAGGCCACCTGACACTCAGTCCCTGCAGGTGGCTGCACCCTCAATAAGTACTCACAGCGTGGGGAGTTGGGGGCCAATTTGTTCTGCCTGAGCAGGAAGGACAGGAGCAAATGAAAAGAAATGCTCACAGCATCCTCGGCTGCCCTGTTCAGCTGGAGAATGGGCTGTCTGGATGGAGAGACGTCAGGCTACTTGATATCCAAAAAAACAGATCTCAGAACAGTATGTTCCAAATATGTGTTGATGTGAGTACTCTCCCAAAGAGGAGGTGGAGCTTAATCCCCATCCCCCCAACCCCTATCCCATCACCACCCCTTGAGGGTGAGCTAGACTTAGTGACTTGCTTCCAAGGAATAGAGTAGGGAAGAGGAAAAATATATTTACATGGAGAAGGCTGGCAGACCCCACTTAACCAAGTGATGAAGGTGAACATCACCATGATGGTGTGTGGTTGTCATCCACCCTGATAGGAGGCGATGAGAAGGGCGCTCCACCTGTGTGGTGTTCTTACCAAAAACCCACATCCCCAGTCTAGTTATGAGACAGATGTCAGACAAACTCAGATTAGGGGACATTCTACAGGATCCCTGGCCAGTACTCAAGACCGTCAAGGTCGTGAAAAACAAGGAAGGACTCAAAAATTGTGACAGTCCCGTGGAGACTAAGGAGACACGATAACTAAACGCAGTGTGGTATCCTGGATTGCATCCTGGAACAGAAAGAGGACATTAATGGAAAAACTGATGAAATCTAAATAAAGGCTGGAGTTCAATTAATGTCAATGTATTTATGTTAGTTTCTTAGTTTTGACAAATATGCCACAGTTATGTAGAGATGTTAACATTTGGGGAAGCTGGGTGAAAGGTATATACAAACTCACTATCTTTGCAACTTCCCTGTAAATCTAAAGTTATTCCAAAATTTAAAATGTATTTTTTAAGATATACAGTTGATCCCAAGTTTGTGCAAATGTGTGTATGAACACACATGTGCAGAAATTGTTATGGAGGGGACAAGGGGGTGTTTTAGTCTTTTTTTCTTCTTATCTGTATTTTCTAATTTATCTGCAGTGGACATGTAGCACTTCTGTAGAAAGATGAGATTAAAGTTGTTTTTTTTATTTTTATTTATATATTTTTTAAAAGGGTAGAATTAATATTTTATTGTCACTTATACTCAGATGGTAGTTGGGTATATAGTCTTCATACTTGATCTTTCCTTTTTGTAAATAAAAAAAATTCCAAGTTTTAAATAGCTGATGGCTGGCCATGTTTTCAGAAAACATGATTAGATTAATTCATTAATGGTGGCTTCAAGTTTTTCCTTATTAGCTCCAGAAAATTCACCCACCTTTTGTCCCTTTTTAAAAAACTGGAAGGTTGGATGCGTTTGACTTCACACTCTGAAGCAACATCCTAATAGTCATCCACATCTACTTAAGGAACACCACATTGGAATACTTTTCAGAAAGGGAATGAAAGAAAAGCTTGATCATTTTGCAAGGCCCACACCAGGTGGCTGAGAATTCGACTACTATGAGTTTTTCTCCTGCAGCTTTCAAGGCTTCCTGAAAAGCATACTTGCTCTCCATCTGCTTCACCATTTTGGAGACTGGAGTCTGACGAGCAACCATAAGAAGTGATGGTAGTGGATCCAAAGTGACGGATGAGCTTAAAGTTGTTTTTTTAAAAGCTCACATCTCCGCCAACAAGCCTTGGGCATCCCTCACCGGGCACCTGCCCAGAGGTGAACTTCACATTTTCCAGGAACTAGGGCAGAGCTCAGGGCTCTCAATGGGAGGGCTCAGCAGGATCCTGACAAGGGGGTCACCCTTCCCTGAGGGTGCTGGATCCTCAGGGGCTGGAAGCTCTAGGTCTCACAGAGCTGTTTCTTAGAACTCAATTCGTGTTCCCAAGAGGGGCTTTGTAGAGGGAGCAGCTGCTGGGCTTCTAGCCCTAATCCTAGAAGACTGAAAGGAGAGGATTTTTGTCTGCCTGGGGTGGAGACTGTGGCCCTTGGGAAGGAAGGCAGAGCATGGGGTAGGGGTGGGGTGGGAAGGAGCGTTCAGGCTCTCCCTGGCCAGAAGGACAGTTATACCTCTGTTTTAGCAAAGCCTTTACATGAAAATTCAGATTTACCAAAGAGGTAATTCATCCTGGAATCCTTGAATGAGGAGTTTTCCTCACTGTAGAAACACAGCTGTTCAGTAAAGCAGGTAAGCCCTGAGCCTCTGGCATGCCAGTCCCAGATTAGCAGAGGTGGCCTTCTACTCCTGGTGACATCTACTCCTGTCTCTGCATCCCTGGCTCCCTGAGGTGCCCCAAGGAGACCTTCCTGCCTTTGTCCTCTGCTTCAGTACAGCAGGCAAATGTGTGCTTGTCTGCACAGAGCGGGGTTTTGGGGAGTGGGTCTCCAGGGATTTAGGTGGAGGGGGAACAGGAGCCTAGAACATTTATTTTAATAAAACTTCGTCAGGTTTGCAGGGAGCTGGGACCAGAGACTTCTTGGGGAGACACGGATAGTCATATTTGAGAAACTGAAAATGTTTTACGTCATTCTGTCCTCTCCCCTGCAGTTCATCTTGGCAAGCCAAACAATCACTGAATTGTTTCCGTGGAAACACCAAACTTCGATTTGGATTAGCAGAATCAAAATAGAAACAAGACAGCTTCAAGAATAAATAGGAGCTTTGGAACCTGCTAGTAGCAAACTGCAAATTCAAGCCCCAGCACAAGGCATGTATGATGTTGGGCCATCCAGCCCCATAAGGAGAGATTTCCAGGTCCCCTGGCTGCATCCCACTGGTGTCGATGCCAGAGCCACTGGGAACCAGCTCTGTATGCAGACTGGTGGACTTTTTAACAATACTTAAGGCAGGAGGTCATCTGTAGAAGGTCCCAGGAGAGGGTGGGGGGTTGGAGGGGAAGACTGAGGAAGAAGGGACAGGAAAAAGCAGAGAGATGAGTGAATGGCCGAGTGAAGGTCCAGCAAGGAGCAGAGGGCGGCAGCGAGGCCTGAGAGTAGAGCAACAATTCTTTCAAAAGGACAATTCGAGGTTGGCCGTGGGCTGGAAACGCTGATCCTGCCCTCAGCCCCATCCAGATTGCGATGTTCCCCACATTCCCGGACATGGCTATCTAGCCACATGGGTCTAGACTAGAGTATGAACTCTTGCCAGGTGAGCTCTAGGGACACTTCTGGTTAGTATGCCTCTGCCTCTGTATGGCTCCAGCCAGCACTATCAGGCACTGAGGCCCAGCTTCTTATCTCTGGGTCTCAGGGTTCCCCTCCCTCTGCCTCCTGCTCCCCTCACCAGGGGATTAGGGAAGCCACTTCCTGGCCCACTGGCCCTGGCTCCTTGGCATTCTCCCAGATCCTCCACTTGCAATCCCAGAGAAAACTCCAAGGGGATCAGGAGACCAGGAGGAAGGAGACAGACAACCTGGGAGCCTGTGCCCCTCACCTTGGCACCCAGAGATGTGCCAATAGGGCAGCAACACCATCCTGCCACTGGAGGAGTTGTGAACGGTTAATGATCAAAGAAACTGATAAAAAGGATTTGCAAAAGAGGTCTAATTCAGGCCAATCTCCCTCCTCCTTAATGGCCAGGCCAGGGGCTCACCTGGTACCAGAGTGGTACCTCCTCTAACTGAGGCACAAGACATTTAATATGGCAGTGAAGACCAGTGATCAAGGCATGCAAACAAGGGAGGCCACTGTAACTGATTATGGATAATTATTGAAAAGGCTGTCATCCCGAGACTATCTGAGGCTCTGGCAATTTACTGTTTCCCTGGAGTATGTGGGAGAACATTAATATTTTATGTTCCAGCTAAATAAATATTTATAGAAAGAACGAAGTTTTACTCAGGAAATCGACTTGACAATGGATCCCAGCCCTAATGAGGAAGGACTCTGTGCTAGACCAGCTGGAAAATGCCTGATTTAATGAAGTGTTTTGGCCTAAGGCCTGGCGTGAAAAAATTTTCAAAGCTGCTCAGCCCTTACAGAAAGCAACTGTCTTTTTGAGGGCAGAAAGATTGTTGTTTTCTGGGCACTTTGGGTGGAGAGGGGTTACTGGGAGCTGGCCTGGGAGAGAGAAGTGGGCATCTTGCAGGAGACCCCACATCAGAAGCCCTTTGGAGCTTCTGAGGCAAAACATAAAAAAGGGAAGTTGCAAAGGAGTACTAGAGAGACCAGACTTTCAGGATAGAGCTGCAAGGAGCTGTTAGAATGATGAGCAAGCAATCCCTGCCCTCAATACATATTTATTAAGTGTCTACTAGTGTCAGACACTCTCCTGGATGCTGAAGATACAGCAGGGACGAGGCAGATGCTGCTCTTACTTCTGGAGTTTATATTCCACTGGGCAAGGTGGGTAAAACATAAGTATACGCATTAGCACATATTTCAGATGGAGCTGTATGAGAAAATTAATACAGGGTAACAGGATTGACAGTGAGTAGGCAGAGCTCCTTCAGAAGACGAGAGTTTAGGAAAAAGCCTCTGTAGGTGACATTTAAATTGATACCCGAATGTTAAGACAATTAGGTGCTGCAGCTGACTTGATTTCCATCCTCAGACAGCTGGAGTTGTATCAGAGGGAGGCACCCCTACGTGGCTCTCCAGGCCCTAGGCCAATAAACCTCCCACATCCGCCCTGTGTAGCCACTTACATCTCTGTCAGCATCTGAAGAGCCAAAAATGTTGCGTGCTCCAGGGATGTGCCTGGGCTATGTCACGCTCACCAAATCTGGCAGGAACACAGTAGTTAAAAAGAAAAAAAGCCTTAAGAATAAAATAAGAAACAGAATATCCTTTCCTGATGATTGCCAGAGACAGGCAGTGTAATTTTAATTAACCCAGCCTTGTTAGGAGATAAATTTACTGCTCATTCTACAAAAAAACCCAGCTCATGGAACACTGAGTCACTCTGACCTTTGACTTCATTACCCAAAATAAAATACTTCTGAAGAAATACAGGATTTCATAACTCACAGCAGAATCAAAGAACAGAGGGTCCTGCTTTGGCATTTCAAAGTTGAACAGACCCTTCAATGAGAAGGCCACAGTCATAAATACTGATGGAATTCTCTCAACAGGGTCTCAACTTTGAATTAAAATTATTAAACTTTTGGGGCCGGCCCCGTGGCTTAGCGGTTGAGTGCGCGTGCGCTCTGCTGCTGGCAGTCCGGGTTCAGATCCCGGGCGCGCACCGCTTCTCCAGCCACGCTGAGGCTGCGTCCCACATATAGCAACTAGAATGATGTGCAGCTATGACATACAACTATCTACTGGGGCTTTGGGGGGAAAAAATAGATAAATAAAATCTTTAAAAAAAAATTATTAAACTTTTCAACTTAGGGTAATAAAAGATTTCCAGATACAGACCCCTCTAGACTGCAAGCTTTATGCTAACCTCTCGACAGCCACTTTTAGTCAGTATGGGAAGGGCTGAAAGGAACCTTTTGCATGGCTGGGCTCCTTTCTCCTATGCCTTCCTTGCACAAGCAGAGAAAACCAGCAGGGAAGGCAGTGGAGGCTGGCAGAGGGCAGGGTGACCAGATATCCAGTGAGGCCCACAGGGAGAGAAGAGGCCAGGGCAGCCTCAGGCAGATCCCAAGTCTGCACTTTTCCTTGGCCTCGGAGAAGGCTGCTGCCATTCCCTGTGGCTCCCAGCTACAGGTCACAGGAGGCCCTTAGTCCAGAAACAAGAGTGCTTAGGCTGGTGCCTGGTACCCTTGCCAAAGGTGTCGCAGGCAGATTAAACTCTCCCAGACTTTTGTGGGATATACACCCCTGAAAATAAAGAATATAAAAATAATAAATCAAGAACCATAGCTTTCACTCAGAGGCCCCAATGTCATTTACTGTATTGGCTTGAAAATGGGCAAATTCTGGAAACCGTCCATCTCATGAGGATTTTTACTTTCATAGAATAAAGAAAAAGAAAAACCAGTTTGAGTAGGGTGTTGTTTAAAATTGTCTTGTGAGAAGCCTTGGGAATAAAAAGATGGTATGCATCTTATCTATTTGATTTCCTTAAGTAAACTGATGGCAGATCAGTTCAATAAACTTAATGGAAAAAAACCTGTATATTTTTAAAAGTTTTATCTTTATTTTTTGATCATTTTGTATTACAATAGAAATAGATATGTATTGCAAAAATTCAAAAACTTCAGCAAGATATAAATGGAAAGCCAAAGTCTCATATAAGCCCATGCTCTCTTCAGAAATAATACAGGGCCCACAGATGCTCTCATTAGATTTAAAAGAGTGGTTGGTTGAAAAACAGGATGGGGAGGGCCGGCCCCATGGCTTAGCGGTTAAGTGTGCACACTCCGCTGCTGGTGGCCTGGGTTCGGATCCCGGGCGCGCACCGACGC